CTGCTAAACGCCTGAAGCCCTATCATCCTTCCAGTTTCTCTTAATATCGATAGTAACAAACTTTCAGCTATTATTGGTTGGGAAAATTGCAGAATCCTCAGACCAATAAGCAATTTAAAAAATGAGTTCCACAATGATCAAAAAAAAGATGAATGTAAAGTGAGATAAAAAGAACATCCTATGCACCTTTCATCGATTTCATGAAAGATGCAGAGAATGTCAACAAGGATCAAAAAAAGAAAAATCAAAACCAGGGTTACATCCTTTACTTCCTTTCTCTCTTTGTTGTCACGGGACTTATTCTCATTTGAGGTGCAACAACGAAATTAGGGATGAAGACATGAAATTAATGGAAAATTTAAAGTGTTTAAGGCAGAAACAGGGTCAAAAGCAATTTAATTAAAAAATACAGCTAGATGTGTATGCTATGTTTTGCAACTAATTTAAACATAATACTTTAAAATCAATAATAAGTCACAACTGAAAATAATTATCGAGAATGAAAATACACATAAAAGTGATTAGAGGGATCGGTTCCCAGTTTTGCTGCTCCTAAATCCTGAACATAACTTCTCCGATCCATGTAGCTGTGATAAAACTTTGAAGTGCCATGAAGCGTATATCCAAGTGTACTTAAAGTTTGTGACTTGCATTTTAGGCTATCAGATGATACTGGCTGACATGCGGATAGCATGATAGCATTGTGCCCTAGGAAAACTAATAAAGCAGTGGGAAAAAGTTCATAAAAAACTGTTATACTTCTTTCATCCTATTAGTCCAACAGCTATTGTCAGTTTACACTTCACTGACAGAGAATGAATGAATGCTCAATGTACGTTAAATTTAAATCAAAAGTACAGCTAATCACGAATTTATGGAATGTTTTCTAATTCGGGCTCATACATGTGTGCATTCTTTTCACAACCCATTAACTAAAAACTATTTCCCAATTATGTTTGGGAAAAGAATGCCTTTAAATTTCTTAAATAAAAATATTCCTCCGCTTATTTACTTCAGTGTTAATCAGTTTATAATTTTGGTTAAAATCAGCAACTTAGTACCATTAAAGAACAATATGAAGCTCTTATTTTTTGTCTTCAACGGTTGCAAATGATAGGTTTAAAAAAAAGAGCAAAAGCTTCCATTATCAGAAAAATCTCAGGGGAAAAAAATTATGACTTTGATATTTGGCTACGTATTCTAATTTACAAAATTCAGAAAAGATACGAAATCGTGAGAATTTTAGAGCCAAAAATTTAACAACTTTCAGAAAATGGAAATCATGGGGCAACTCAGAAGCTTCATAACAAATTAGTATGGATCATGCAATTCATAAATAACAGCAATAATCCAAGTAAGAACCTACATCAAAATGCTAGAATTATTGACTAATTTAATATAGTCATCTTTGTGATAGTTTACATGATTTAGTCATCTTGCTGATTACTTTATTTCGCTTGTTGATTAAGCTGTCAGTAAAAATCCAAAGATCCAACCTGATTTACGTGGAGGCGACATGTAACATTAATGGACAACATCTATTAGCGGTGATTGTAATGAACTGAATTTCTCTTACCAGAAAAACATCAAACATAAAGACATTTACTAATGGTTCAGAATCTTATGTAAAATAGTGCGTTAACAAGAAAAAATTAAAGAAAAAGCGATTGAGGTGATGATGGAGGGAGGACAGAATTTGAATGTGAATAAAATGGTTGTGTTAGTAGTGTTATGGTGATGGTGTTTCACAATTCAAACTGCAAAGTCGAAAAAACAAAGGGGACAGCTGCTTTTCCTCATCAGCCCACTATCCGGAAAAAAAAGGCCATTTCCTTCACTGCCAAATGATAATTCACATCTTTCATATCAGTAGTGAGCTTTTACATCTAAAAAAGCCTTTTGCACCCTGAAAATTCTCATATTGCATGATTTTCAGATGTACGAGATAGTCAACTAAGTGCTTTGATATTAATAACTTTGATAGTTTATTGTTTGATACAAAATTTTCACAAACAAGTTTGCATAACAACATTTGCCAGTATAGCATTAGTTTCTAGCAGCATAGCGTTAGGCCGACCTTTAAGTAGTTATTATTAAATCTACATAACAATATTTATAAACCCCATTCAAAATATCTCAAAAAAAGAAAGAAAAATCATATCTTAATACCAAATGGTAAACTGCTATCTTTTAAAACATGCACAAGCATTTTTAATCATTGATCACATTACTTTTACTGAATAACTTATACAGTTTTAAAATGTTATTTTTCTCCGTTCTCCATTACCACTCCTTTGATAAAATATTGCAGTTTGATTAAAAGACCTTGTGAATTCAATGAATGCATTTTGATTAATCTGAAGTAATAATGTTCGAGAAAATAAACTATGCATATTTTAAAGTAATTGATCTAATGAACAATAGCATATCTCTGAAAGGAAAAGTTACTGTTAATACTCCTCTTTCAAATAGAATACCACACACTTCTGAAGATGCTATTCGAAGAAGAAAAGCATGTATTTAAGATTTATCCATCTATTTGTGAACTTTTTCATCTTTTGTAGCTACCGTTAACTTCTCACTTCATATCTACCTTTAAGGAAATAAATGGTTTATTGCTTTGTTCTTCTATTATATCAGTTAGATAATCAAGTCATTTATATATTTAAGGTATGAGGCAAAAGTTTAGTCATAAAGAGGAGAAAAAACAGAACACATGAGAAGTGACGTGTGGAAAGAAATGAAAAGGAATCCAGATGACCACTGTTGAAAGTTCATGTTTCCAGAGAAAATTATGATTCATTATCAATGTTTTCATTACACTCATATTTCCGTATGCGTAAGCAAACACAGTATCATATACTATATGTTTTTTTCATTCAGTCATATTTTCCAAAAATTTCTACTAATTTAAATGATATATAATAAATAGATCAGCTATGAGGGGAATGATTGCGATATTTAGGAACCGAAAGCTGCATAGGCGAAACAAGAAACCAAAACAACCCACCTGTGAGATGAAACTACCACAGGGGCATTTCCAGCAAAGTATATGAATGCTTTCCACATTTTACTTTATTACGTATGGTGAGCGAACACACGAAAAAAAAAGTGGCAAAATATTTTTACGGTTTAGGATTGCGAGATTATTAACAAAATTACTGGGAAGTCAAGAAACTTTCTCGTGAATCTAAAGCTTGTTAATAGATACTTTTACAGTATGTAAAATGAATTTCTTGAGAACATTATTCGGAATGAAATGTTGACTTGTGATCGCGAAAATTACAAAGAAATAAATGTATCTATTATAATATAATTACATTACCATTTATCTTACAACAGAGGCACAAATATAAAAATCTGTCACATTTAAAAAATCAGTAATAAAAATATTGGAGCTAAGACGGTTTATGTGAACCAAATTGGCAATATTAAGTTAATGTAAATGCCTACCTCCCTAGATACTTTACCCCAGAATATGGTACCATTTTTTGTTCTCGCTATTCAATTGGGTTGATTTTCATGATGATATGTGCGTTGTCATGTTTCCCGCAAATTAAACTTCCACAAAAATCCTTCCCACCTTTCGCTTTCTTCCATGCCTGTCCTTTTGCTTTTCACTGAACTATTTCCACCGATGACAGTACCATTTCATAATGTGGATAATTTGGACAGTGAGTCAATCTTGATTGCTTAAATCTAAACTGCGTAGGCTCTTCAGGACCTATAGTGTACACTTTTATATTTGACCTAGTGGATTCGCATGGATTTAGTGTTTTCCAAATTGGTTGCTTCAGTTCAGTAGTGCAAATACTAATACTATGTTTTCAGGAAGGAAGGGAAGATTCGGCGAAGAACTGATAGGACAAGTAAACTGATGGAGAAAGCTAAATGTCCTCTTTCGCTGCAAATTTATAGTCAACAACAATTCTAAAAATTGACACCGAATAATGTAAAAGTGACGACTGAAGTGCAATGTCTCATTCCATACTGTTATGCAGCGTTATATATTTGGGGTCGTTTGATACCGAAGATAAGAAAAGCACTTAATATTAGCACTAACCTAATTTGTAAAATAAAATGAGCATGCAAAGAGAGAGAGAGATAGCTAGGAGGCCTTTCACATTTATTCGTACTGGCTGGCTGTACTCAGCATGATGTCATAGCCCACAATGACACCAGCATATTTCCAACAAACATTCATACATTGAAGAACATAAAATCATCAATTCAATTGCTGACTGATGCATCCACCATGCCTGGAAGAGAATGAAGAGAACAGCTGATCTCATTATTGTGAGTCATCTAGATACTGCACCAGTCAAGATGAGCAATATCTTCGTGAAAGTGTATCGGAAATACCGGAAGTAAGAGGCTGCAGCCCGGGACAACTCATATTCTTCTCTGTTGTTGAATCTCTTCTAGCTGTCAGTCATTATTCATTCGTGTAGTTGATACTCATGATTCATTTGGAAAATCAGAATTCCCAACAATTTTATGAAAATGATCCGTAAGCCAAATGAGTCAAAGTCGGAAGTGAACGCATTACGTGACATCAAAGGGGGAGGATAATTATGCATATACGGCAGAGTCTGTCTGTCACGTGCACATTTCATAGTATCGGATTACAAAAGAGAGAAAAAAAAATTTCCAGATGGGAAGAATCTGGCGACATCAGTAGTACTACAGTTGTGCGGGAAATTCACGTAAAAAACCGTAGTACATATGCCTTGCAATTACTTGTTCAATGTGGAGACACAAACATGCGTAGTGGTAAGTAAAAAGGTATGTTTATAACGAAGGTATGCGAAGATTATTGTCTTGAGGAGAAAGCTAGCGCTGAAGAAATAGCAACTGCAAGTAGTGGGTGACCCACAACTACAGTCATTGGTGACAATGTGTTGCTGCGGATAGCCAGACGGATGAGACGGGAGCGGAGAGACAATACAGTACATGTTGTTCACCCGGTGGGGTAGTAACGTATCGACTCGTACAAACTGATGGGTAATGCGACTTCCAGTGTCGCCTGCGCTGCTGGTGCTACTACTATTGTGACGGACGACAAGAATAAGAAGGGACGCTTTGAATGGAAGATGTGGTGCTCGGAAGAGGGGCACATCGATCGATGTAGGGGAGGTACGACGAGGTGCAAGTACCGCGTGAGTGTAGAAGACGTGGCAGGATCGGTCGACGATTGCGAGAGAGTGCCAATCAGCTCAGAGACTATTCATGAAGTATTGTCCCTTCGTTAGGTGAAAAGAAACGAGAGTAGGAGGTAGGTAGCCTTTCGGAATGTCGAGAGTCTCCCTCCCCTCTCTTTGTCTGTCGATGGATTCAAAGAAATTTGCTTGGATGTCTGTCTGTTAGTAGTGGGCTGATGAGGCACGTGTGTGTGTGTGTGTGTGTGTGTATGTATGTCTATGCCTGCGTCTGTGTGTTTGTGTGTGTGTGTATGTATGTCTATGTCTGCGTCTGTGTGTTTCATTCAAGGTGTCTGGACTGAATTGATCGGAACTGGTAAGCTGAATTCTGAAGGTGAGGGCGTGAAGAGAAGAAATAACAGTATTAAGAAATGCCGATCAGAAGTTTCCGTTCCATATAGCGCACTGGAGGGATGCAGTGAATGAGGTCGTGGTACAGTTTATCAGCTGCTGTACCACTGCATTGCATTTATTTGTCCGTTCAACTTGACTTGATTGAAGGACATCCAAGTGAATCTGAATTCTCATCTCTTAGCTGTGCAGTAGTGAAAATGTTAGCTAATTGCTTAAATGATGACAGCTGCTCTTTTGACAGTTGGCTTCTGTAGATATCAGTTTTTCCAAAACTGAGTTGACCCAACGCTGAGATGTTTGTTGTTCGTAGAAATGTTTCTCTTCTATATACCTCGTATGTCACGTTGGGACTGAAATGTGGTACTGAAATTCGTCACTCGATTTGCAGCTAAAATTGGAAATGCTAATATGATTTGATGCCAAGGGCAAGTATTTAAACAAGCTTTAAGCTGGTTTTTTAGATGAATGGCAGCACTTCGTTATTTCTATAATGATTTAACAAAATTGTTTTTATTGCTCTGGTCGTTATGTTATTATTATTCAGAGGTCTCGAAGAAAAATCAATGGATTCTTACATGTACACTTTATTTTTTTTTTTGTTTCACGCATAAAAGATTCCTGTTGGTTACTGAAAAGTATGCACTAACGGAATGAAAAGTAGAAAGATATCATACAATCGGTAATATTATGCATTTCATCATGCTACACCAGCGATCACTGAAAATGTTGAGAGCGCAGGAATTTTGTTCGAGCAGACTTGCATCAGTGCAATAATGTTTCTGTAAAAAGATAATTGGAATTTGATTACTAAAAATTTTGAAGTTTAATCAAATCTTTGAACTCGGTAACCCGAATGAATTTCCAGAATTCTGAAACAATTGAAGTTCCCCGTTGAAGAAAATATAATTGGGTTGTTTTAGTGATTCGTCAAAGCAAAAAAAAATGGGAATTGGGGAAGTCAGACTTGTCATTATACTCCAGTCCTGAAATTAGATATATATATTTTCAAAGTAAAGGATAAAAATAGAAAGTAAGGGATATGCATTGTAAAACTTGTTTTTAAATATGGTGTCGGTATTGTGTTACTATGTTGCCAGTCATGCGATATCTCTACATCTTTTAAAGACTTCATACTTATTCTGAATTATTCTGATTTGATCTTACAGCGGATTCATACCAATTTCTTTTAGTTCGTTTTAGTCACAGTTCGTTTTGTGATTCATCATTACTTTGGATCTACATTTATAGTTTAGTGCATACTCTTTTTATGTAAGCAATATGTAAGCAAACTCGTATATACCACTTGCTTTCAGGATTAAGCGTTTATGTAAGTACATCACGTTACATCAACTGGGACATTGGTTGATCTTACCGAACGTTATGTGTTGGTGTTGCTCAATAATTGCAATTTTTGAGACATATTTTCCTTGACGTTGGATGAACATTTCGGTCCAAGAATGCCTGCTTTTTCGTGTGTTTCGATCTGAAAACAGAAATTAATTTTATAACCCCTGCTTAGATTATTGATGATCATTCCGAAAAGAGTCATTTATTCTGCCAGATAAGTTCTCTTAAATGGCAGATGAATAAAGTTGGTAACAAAATTCCACTGAAAAAGAATTTAATATAGGAGCAGCACGGTATCACAGTTCTATTCTGTAACAGTTCACACAGTCAGTGGTTGGGTGGTCGACCTGATTATCCAGTGACCGTTGATATACCACAAATTTCTTACACATGTGTATTAATATGTATAATATATGTGGACGTTTCCTTCAACAGCAACAACTTGTTTTCCACTGTTTTTTGACGAAAATTCTATTTCATTTACTTACGTACGAGTCCATTGAAATTATTTCCTGAGAATTCTACTATCCACTGATTTTTTTTTTTCTTTTTTCACCGAATTTTATATTTTCTTAAAGATTATTTCAAATCATTTTCATTATAAATGGTTTTTTTTTTTCAATTTTATTGTCATTGTACAAAATTTTACGTATACCGTAATAGTGAAAACAAAAATATTTCGCTGGGTATCTGGTCATAACAGATTAAACGATATAAATTTATAGCAGCATGGAAATCTTCTTCAGCAAGCTCATATATTGTTATATCCAGCATGCTAAAGAATATGATCTATGCTAATGGGTCGGAAACTTTTGATATTTTTTTTTTCGGTTCTAGACACTTACTGTGATAACTTTTTGGTGATCAATGGAATATATTAATTTATCACTTACAACTATGTGTTCAAATGGGATTTACATTAAGAGTGGAAAATTTACAAGCTCTGTAATTATTTCATTTCAATACAACTTCTCAGTTGTTTAAAAGATGAAACTATAATGCCATAATGTTTTGCTGTCAAGAAAATAAGGTTAGTGAACACTGGACACTCATATTTTGTACATGAAACCCTACATATTTTGGAAATTTTTTATTTTAGTAGTTCTTAGTTTTGATCTACAAGTGCCTTCCTAAGCTATGAATAAAAAATTGGAAGAAGGGAATGAAAAAAAAAAAAAAAATACTTGAAAAGGATATCCATTACCACCGAATTATGAAATTTTAGGATTATTGTACTAAAATCATTCTTTCATTGAACAATTAGAAATTATTAATGTGCGCACAATACTCTTATGAATTCAACATTGTTAACACAATAGTTTCAGTTTCAGTTTCCATGTCTGATATTGTGAAAGGCAAACATATGGAATTTTCGAAAGTCTCTAGACCACTATTTAATGATAATTAGGAGCACTTCTTTTTCTTTTTTAATTTACACTTGAGTTCTCCCTCATTGTTCGATCCTTTTTGGTCATTCATTATACCCAATAAATGATAAATAAAATAAACTCAGAAGAATGAACTTTGACTGAAGTTTATCTTCATCTGTAGAAAAAAAAATTTCAAATTTAAAAAATGGAGTGAAATACGAATTATCTCTTCTGAATTCTCCATCTACAATGGTTAAGGCAAATCAGTATGATCTGACCCAACAATCTTTACTGCAAGATTTTAAAATTATATTGCACAATCAAATGTTCAGTATGTGCTCAAAAAATAAATTTATACAGCCATTAAAATGCTCATGGAAGACAGTTTTCTTCATATTGATATATAATGGACACTAAATCACTGTCAGTAAAAAGTGGTTGAAATCATTTCTGATGTAATACTAATTTGGGTATGTAGGACGTTGTGTGTGATAGTTGCAGATAAAGTTCATTAGGAGTGCTGGGAAACATCAAAGTAGTTCATTTTATATTTCCTTCACATTACCTTATATTCCAAACAGCATCCCAGAACTACACAGCAGATCATTGTTTTGAGTTATATATTTTTAAATTTTTGGACGGTTTTTTTTAGTCCTTAACTTTTTCTCAATGAGAGATAGCTAGGAATCACGGAGGAATAAATTCCGGGAAAATGAAAGCAAATAGAGATGAAACTGCTGACATTTATCAGTTAAGATTATATTTTTTATAACACTGGAAACCTAATCAAATTATAAAATGGAAGAAATGACTTTATAAATGTCACCGTAAACCCCATTTAAAAGATGAATATAGCGCCAACAGCCATAAAGTTGCACAATGTATAGTCATATTGTACTGATTGATTAGACATTCCTGCTAAATTACATACGCAGTCACTAATTTTTCGTTTACTACTCCTTTTTTTTCTTTTTGTTTCAGATTCCAATATCGTAAGTCTAATTTGTGGTAGTAAAGGTTTTTTTTTTTTCATCTACAAAACTTATTTCTCTCATCACTTCAGTAAAAGTTGCAATTAATGAGCATAACTTTTGAATACTTCAATGATATTAATACAATTACATTTAAACAGTTCGAAATATCTATTCATTTCACAATTTATTTTTCTATTCAAATATGTATTATTTACAGAAATAATGATAGTTAAGCCAGCTGCTTTATTTTCGGCATTTGTATCTACTGTATACACTTTACAAAATCCACTCATTTCTGCGCCTTTCGACAATTTTCGCATCGAATGTGCCAAATCTTCAGGTACTTAATAATTTAAATATAAAAACTATTTATCATACTTAGCAGTGCTATGTATAATTTTTCCTATTGTAATAAAACCAAGATAAATCAGGTGCCGTAGGAATTAGTGTACGAATGGTCGGCTCACAAGGTTTCATCCGACAAGATACCGTTTTCGCAATTATTTGCGAACGAGTCGACGAGGTTCGTTCAAACATATCAAAACACTATCTGTTACATTTTTTTTTCCACATTTTGAAGCTTTGTGAATCTACTTAAAAATCAGGAGTAAGTTAGCAAGTTAAAAATTTGATTAATTAAAGCTATATCCATGGCATGGTATTCCTACAAGCATTGCGGAATTGGAACGAGAAGACTGCTACTACAGCCACTTGTTTGATCCAGTTGTAGATACAGAATCACTGTATACATGTCGACCGCGAGAATACATATCTGGTATTACCCGTCTGTCGGATACTCGGTAAAATTATCTTTTTTAGAAGGAATAAGAATCTATTTTCAGGCGAAGTAATGCTTCTGATATATTATCATTTCGTAGTATAGGGTACAGGTGTTGTGTTGTCGTTTGCGAACACGAGATGAAGCAAATTGTCAAGAGAAAGAGTTCACTAAACCAATTGGATCTGATCCACGGACAGACATATATCATCGCAAACAGCTTATCAATTCGATTGCTGTCGAAGGGCATAATTATAGAGTGCGATTTTGCGACCTTGCTCCGCGAGCTATAGGTCTGTTTGTAGTTTATTTGTAAAAAGTATTAAAAATTCAATAGCTTTGATTGCCACATTTGAAAAATATTCTAAAGATTAAACTTTTCAATGAAAATTTGGTTTCTTTCAAAATCTTATTTTAATTTATTCTTATTCATATTCAAGCTCTAATTTACAACGACTTACTTATAACAACTACTATCACCACCGAAACTCCAAAGAACAATGGATATCATGCAGAAGCAGAAAGTGACATGTTGAAGACAGCAACGGCCAGAAATAAATACACAAAGAATAATTTGTTTGGTAATTCATTTATGAAATGAATATTTTTTTCATGAATCTTAGATAATTTGTATCACTAAACTATACATAAAACATGTTGGAGGAAATTCAATTATCAGCAAATATAAGATTTAGAACGTCTGACATCGCAAGCTACGACCTCATCATCTACAACCAAACATGTTATCCAGATATTTCGACCGAGTTCCTTGTACAACCTTGAAGAAGTTCAGAATATGCGCAGTACAAGCACTTCTTCACCAAATCATTCTCAAAGTAAGAATTCATAATTTTTTATCTTGTTTTCATAAATGATCATAATGACTTTGTAGCAGAATTTTTGGATCAAAAATATTCAGCCCCAATATAAGGTTAGCTTAAGTGATTCTATAGCGCAGATATGATCAGTGTGAATTCTTGCATGGTGGTGGGATGCAGGAATATGTTCAGAAAGTTGCAAAGTGACTTTTAGAGTAATTACATCAGAAACAAAATTCTATACCATCCTTCATAATTCCTAGAAAGCTAAAGCTTATACATCATGTCGATGAAAACAATAAAAAGTCTCCTTGAAAATTGTTTCTGACTTTCAACTTCTAAACTTTCTATAATTTGAAATTTCAAAGTTATTCGTAACTTCTAACAGATATTGAATTATTACTAGAGATGCAACAAACTTCCAGAGAGAAATTTTCAGCTATTACGAATACAGTTGATGAAAAAAAACGCCACAGCACTGCCTGGTAAATTTTGGTTTCGATTTTAATAATGACTATTAGACTGTCATAATTTATAATAGATATTTTAAGATTATAAGCCTCACTGTATACTGCTGCGACAGCAACAATTTCGCTTTTTATGCACTAGCAATACCGCTGACCACGAAATTAAAAGTTTATGGATCAAGCAAATTAAATTAAAAACAAAGTAAAGTAAAAAAATAAACACGTTTGAATATTCTTTTCACTAAGTGGGATTTCAGGATGATAGATGAAATAAGCAAGCAAAACTCTGCACTACCTACTGTTTCTTTTGTACCAACAAGAATTACGCAGGTTGTTTCATAAATGGAATTTCGAATTATTTGAAGACAAGTTTCAATGAAAATTTTAGAACATAAAATGTGTTTAAAATAGCTAAAAATGGTGGCACGTACAGAAGTAAAATATGATATGATGTAGTTTCAGCAGTTTCAAAGTTATTCAGTAGCAGCGAAACAAGATGTCGTTTCAAGTGGTCGTAACCGAACAACAATGACATTGTCTTACTTCGCTACATCTTCACTGCAAACCACAACTGCGTCATCACTAATTCTCTTGAAACCTTTGACCTCTAAAGTAGTGCATACTAAAGTTACATCAAAAAACAAGGTGACTTTATCCCTTTTATTAATAATAAATTCTTTCAAAAAAAAGACCAGTTCTAATTTTTGAATCATATTTTTATTGCTTTTCCAACATTGATTTTCCCATTCATTCTAATGAACCCTTACATCTTTATGATGTTATATATCTGAAATTTAGGATTTGCAATATGTTTTTTCCATGAAAATTTTAGAAATTTAAACCAAGTTTCGGAGTAGAAATTTTTAATTTTCTCTTTTCTAAGAAGAATTTCAATCCTATGACAATGATTTCCAATTCAAGCAACCTACAACGAAAGCAAGTACAAGACGACGGATGAAACAGACACTAAGTCCAACCATTTCCAGTAATTCATCCAGGATTACGCCTCAGTTAACAACGCCATCAGCTCATCTCATAGAACTTGAGAATACAACAGAAAGTCCTTCTTTATTAAGTACTCAACTGCGCCGTGATTCTTCTAGTGGAACACACATCGATGAAGAAACCAAGTATTCACCATTCGAGAATAGGGACAGTAATCCTTCACGTGACAATGAGGTTAAATAATTTTAGGGAGAATTTTATGTAGTTTGAAATGACTCTAAAAATTTCAAGATGAATTTACATTTGAAAGGTTTTAATTTATTTTTGATGAAATATTGTTGCAAATTGTTCAGGCTTTTGGATCAGAATATTTGATTCTTCCTACCTCAGCTAATCTTCTCGATATGACCACATCAAGCGGCAGTTTCTTATATAAAATTTCGAATGAAATTCGTCATGCTCCAGTTAAATCACGTTGGTTTTTACCATCTTGACTTTTTTAGGTCTTGTGTCTTCTTCACTATTGTTTGTAAAATAATTTAAAAAAGAAATATCAAAAAATTTACTATGTTAAGTTCGGAAACAAATTGGAGTCGCATATAGTGAATTCAAAAGTTTCCCAAACAAACAAACGAACAAAGTGGATCACGAATTTAACTTCCCGTCATTTGGTGATGGAAATATTGGTTGCTTATTAATCATTTTACAATTTGTCTGATTGAAATTTGTAGTTTTGGAATCATCTCGAATTTCTGGTAGAGATATATTATACTGCAACGCACATAAAGTGGTAATGTATTGAAAAAGTATTCTAATTTTCTAAAAAAGTTAATCTTCTGCATTTGATTGAAACACAGATGTTCATCAAGTGATAAAATGATAAGAGAGATGTTACAGAAGATGTTGGTTTGGATTACAGTGAATATAACTTATCGATGAAGAAATCCGCTGATGGTAGTCGTACATATGTACCAGAAAATCAGGAACCACTGAACGCTCCATCAGGTATGGAACAACCGTTCGGCTATTGTAATTCCAATGAAGATTTCTCTGTAAGAAAGCGTAACATTATCTGAGCTAATGTTTGCTGAAACTACAAACTGTTTTTATTACTGATAATAAAATATTACTTTAGCAGCAATCGTATACGATGCAAGCAAACAAAAAAATGCTGTTTTGGTAATAGCAAGACGAAAGAAGAAGAAAGTTCAACAGAATGATCAGGAAAGCAATCAAGAACAGAAAAATGGTGAGGAGCTGTTTGAAAGTTATCTACAAATAATGATAACTTTACTGCTAAATTAAGCATATGTCTATTTTTTGCTTTTTGCAATTTTTTTTGGATTAAAATGAAGTGTAGACTCATTCTCTTTCATTGCATTAAGAAGAGAAAACAGATATTTAATTTTTATGGATATTTTTTCTCTCTGAAATTGAAATGAATTTTTCACAAAAATGAACTTGAATGATATGTGTACTGAAATTTTGTTCAATTAGAACTTATAATAAGGTCTAACCTTTGAAAGAAATACTTCAACAATATGATGGTTCATTTATGTGTAAGAATAAGTATCCATTGCGTGAACGAGAGCGACAAATACTAGCTTCTAATTTGGAATTGATTAAGATTTGTAATAGAGCTTATCATGGATGTATAATTTTATTTCCACTGAGAGATGCTTTTCGCTTGAAAATGATATTCAGCAAAAGATTGTACGGAGAACTTATTGTGTGTTCATAGAATTATCAGGCATTTTATCAATTGAAACTACCAATATAAAAACTACAGTGCATCCAACGTTCTTTATCTTAGACTTTCAAAATTGTTTTCTTTCCATAGAAATATCATGTTGAATATCATGCACTAATCTTGAACTTGTGTTTCTAAAATTTAATTTATAAACTTTAGATGCCCGCAAAGAATTACTATCAATGAATGATGAGGTTAATTCATTCCCAATGGATACATATACTTCTGCATCTTCAGCAGTATCAAGTAAACAAGATTTGGAGTTTCCTACCACGGTTAAATATCTTTTCACATCTTACTTTCTTTACAGTCTTTTTTTTTCCTTCTTTAATTTAGGTCGGATTTATGTGAATCTAAAAGTGACAAACTTTTGCACATTTCAGAGCTCCAGTCCGGCTAATCTGAAGAACACTGCAGAAGACGTCTATGATCCAGCGAAATTTTATCGCACAGTACCACCGAAACGGCCAACTCAGACAGAAAAAGGTTAATTTGAGAAGATTTCAGTTTTTTTTTTTCCTTTTTTTCGCTGAATAATATAAAGAGGAAAGGAGCAAGTGTAATGAATAAGCTAAATTAATAAACTTTTAAGGCTTAATGGATAGTTTATTAAAACGACATAATCCCGATACTATAATGAGCCGATATAATTACAGAAATTTGTAATCATAGCATAAACATTTGTAGTGCTAACCTTCTGCACAAAGGAGATAGCCATTCGTGATCGACACAATTTAGTGATTGCTTGTGGTAGTGAAACGGAAATATGGCAACCATTTCGGTGCCCGGCAGGAAGTGAATGCTTCTCTTCAACTGATTCCAGTTATCGAATCTGTTGTGCTGTAGCCGAAGCTGTTCGCTATACTCATTGATTAAAAACTTTATGTAATTTAATAAGTTCATCAGATTTATCTTTGTTGATGTCTTATTGCTAGATTGTTATTCCAGATTATTTTATTTCATTCATCTACTTTTCTTTTCTAAGTACTAATTCCCAATTTCTGCGATTTTCTCTGACATCTCATATGGCAGACTAAGCTTCGAAATAATAACAATCAAAAATAATAGTCATTCGAAACTTCAAGATCTTTTTTTTTTAACACCTGTGCAATTTAATCTCATTTTATTTTCGTTACCATTTTCCCTTTTCACTCTTTCATTTGTTCCTTTTTTTATACTGTGATGCTATTTTAAATTCATATGGCAAGTAAGCTTCGAAATACTATTTATTCATAATATTCCATATGCAATGCCTACAAATTTACATTGTTTTTTTTTTACATTGTTTTTTTTTATTATTTCTCAAGAATTTCAAAATGTGTCGTGCCTTCATAAGACGTTGTTAGCAAAGTCTTACATCACAATTTTTATATTAATAAAAAATTTCCATTAATTCTTTAAAGTATTCTTGTTTTCTCTTCGAACTAGTGACTTCAAAACTTAAAGTACTATCTTAAGGTACTTCTAAACTACAAAAAAAAAGAAAAAAAATTCAACAAGCAGTTGTATCTATTAAGTTTGTAATATTCCTTTCAATTTCACTGTTGTTGCAAAACTATGTCTTTTTTCCTCTTTGTGATTCACCCTAAAATAGTTATAAATAGCATATTATATCATTAACCGTTGGGTGACTAAATTGTTTCTTTGATAAAGCAAACACTGTATTCAGCAATTTCTTCTACCTTTTTTATGTTTAATATGATCGAGCAATCATTCTAGATGGAAGAATTATATTTCTTATTAGACCGAATGAAAAGTATCGGTTGTAAATTTCACTAAACTGATAGGAAAAAATTCCACTGCTTATAATACCAACATTGTGCTAGCATCATGGCAGGAAGACAATTGTAGATTTCATTCGGTTCATTAATATATGATCTAGAAAAGAAAATTATATATAAATCAAATATGCTAAATTTAGGAATAGTAAATAAGACAAGAAATAAATTTTGATTTATTGGTAATATCATCCGGAATTTTTCCTTTTTGCCGTCTTCAGGGAGATTCCAGAAAGCGAACAAGTGTTTCTGGACATTAATATTATGCAAGAATTTTAGTGTTTTTTTCTAATTCTTAAGCATCGTTTTCATTTCTCTTTTTTTTTTTTTTCTTTTTGATGATATTTCAAATTTTATTCACATTAGATTCGAAAAATCTTCATATTTCAGCTAAAACATTGCAATTGAGAACAGTAAAAGGTTTAAATCATTTAGGATAGAAGTGATATTATTAAGCATACAAATCAGATTCTATAGCAAATCGGTACACAGTATAGGTCACGAGCATTGCCTGAGCTCCAAGAGATGTTAAAAACTAAGTGTGTTGTGATATTTTTTAACAAAGCATTATCAAAGTATATATGCTTTGTATGAACATCGATGAGTGAAACACTCAAACAAATCACCATTAAAAAAAATGTAACTTGTTTGAGAAATGATATTTAATTCATAAATAAATAAAAAAAGAGTCAGAAATTTCACAAGTCAATTAAAAGTTATTCATTAAATAACCTAAATAAAAGAGAGATGAAGATGACGCATGGAATGTCCTGAAAACAAAAGGTACCGTCATCCTACATAAAGCTTAATTCATGTAATAATTGCTGGAGAGAGTAGACAATTAAAGAAAGTAGGCAAAGTTCAAAAGTTTTACGTATATTTTCCAGAATATGGGAAATTCCTATGTGTAATAGAGAAAAAGCAAAAAGTTTCAATTAGCATTCATTACTTCTATCAGGCATAATTGGTAAGTGAAAAATATGAGATAATTATAGAAAGTAATAATATAATTATAATGATAAATAATAACAATAATAATATAATTATAATAATGTAATGTAATTAATAATAGTGATAAAGTAACATTATTAATAATAGTAATAATAAATTAACAATTAATAACTATAATAATAATTGATAATAAATATTATTTTATGTTGATAAGTGAAAATAATGATAAATATTATTATAGAAAAATAACAAAAATCTGAAATAAAGTTTTTTCTATGTACTTGCAAGATTTTAATGAACTTTGTTGAAGGTCCAATACACATTTAATGTAAAATTGGTTATCGAAAATCCGTTCTTTTCTTCTTTACTGTTTTTAAATCCATGTTGAAAAAACAATAATTTCAAAAATTTTCGAAAAGGCTTCTATGCTTCATTTCAGGTTTTGTCATGATGACAAATGTGAAGTGTGTTTTACATGCCAATATCCTTCAGATACTGTTATACATAATCGGTTCAGATAACTAGCTGGTCCTAATGGAAGACTTATTTTGCTGAAACAATGTGGCTTACGACTTCTTAAAATTAATTCTGACAACTACAGCGTTTCCAAGGTAACCGGATAACTTTTTCTCACAAATTCTTTTTTCATTTTGTAAAAATCATTAATATGTGCTACCTTGCAACTTACTTGAATTAGGTAATAAAATTGTTTTTTGAAAGGATTAATTTACTTCAGCTCTCCAGATCGACGTGGTACTTCTATTCCTCGTACAAAGAATAAATGGCAGATGAAGCACTGATGAAAGCTGGCTTATATCTAGATGCTTTCAGCAAAATACGTCTTCTCCAGCCGGGTAATACACAAATGATTACATTTATGATTATGCTTTTTCACTGGCAATATCATCCAACAACGATGGATAATCCCACTTTATATTTTTATATTACTTGTTTTAGGGAAAAGAAATTGATTTTCGAGTCTATTATTTATTACCTGTGATGATTTGTGACCTGGTGTAATATGTTATCACACGAACATCGCTAATAAGAGCCAGATTGTATGTCCACAGAAACAGGTTATTTTTTAGGTATTGCGGATGTTTCTAACGAACTTGTTGAAGAAGCGAAAGAAATTGTGAATAAATTGAACACTTTCAATGAAGCTACAGAAGCAATCATAAAAGCATTTGATGGAGTAAGGCTACGACAAAATTATCATGATATCTCTTGTGTTATGGAATGCAATGAAATGTTATGAAAAATATGTTTTGCTCAATTTTAGTTGGCAAAAACCGTGGAAGGTGAGAAAATTCGTGCGATGTCATCCAGAAATGCCTTGGAAATGGCAGACAAGCAACATGTTGTCGAGGAACAGCAGTTGCAGGTCTTTTGATTGATTTTGAACTTTTGCACTTATTTCAAATTGAGGATTATTAGAAATGAATAATCCTCCACAACTATTTTCTAACAATCAAATTTGAAGTTCAAACTGCTTTTATAATTTTAATAAATTGATTCACTTCAAAAGATATATGCCAAGTATTAACAAAAAATTCTTTGCAGATTCTGATTCGAGAACGCGAAGTAGAACTGGAAAGGTTGCACACTGAATTACAATGCATTCAAAGGCAAGAATCTGCCCTGAAAGAGTATTTGCAGAAATTTTTATCGTCATAAATCATCTGTGTGAAGTGACATTCCCAATTAAAATGCAATTTACTTGTTTCTTTCTAACGTTTGAGTTGGTTGAAAGAAACAAGTCTTCCTTTATCCTCAATTTTTTGTACTAACTTATCCTTACTCCTTTACATCGATGACAAATCATCCCTATACCTGAACTGGCACTCTCCACATTTTCACCGATTATTTTATGATTAACAATGTTTCTGATATCGCTAGATGATTTCTCAATTAGAGACAAAATGGACGAAACTCTTCATTTAGTTTAAAGAGTTCAATCAAAACACAAGATGCCGAGTGTATTTGGATTACCCAGCTTCCGCAATTACGTTCCATTTCATGCAAAAAATGCCTATGAGAAACTCTATCCTCAGTTCAACATAACGACATGCACAGTAACTGATACAACTTTAAAAAAAATAACCAAGCACAGATGAACAGCTATTGAAAACCTGCAGTAAAAATAACTGTTAGATTGATAGAATGAACTCAAGTAGTGCAAGGCTGCCTCAGTATTAAAAAAAAAATGTTAGTGCAACAATTGAGGGTTTTACAACGCGTTACATAAAGTCTGCACATATCAACGAAGACGAACAAAGGAGTCTATATCATATTTCAAAATGATAATCTCAAACACCCACTTGACATAACCTATGGTTGTAAAGAAACGACTTTACACATATATTTTACAATTCCTACCTAAATTTCAAAGCTACGACTGCTTCATTTTTACTAATCAAGTGCAGCGCTAGTAATATTTGCTTGTAGAAACACTAAAGAATTTGAAATTGCTTACAATTAGACATACGTTAACTGGACCAATTCGAATAAAAGAAAACATTATATCTAACAATCAGCTTTAGCAAAGAACACCTATTTTAAAGTGTGGTGGTAGAACCTACCAGTTATGTTCACTAAGGGTAAGTAATGTATCTTTGCAAAATAATAGTTGACAACTGCTTTCGCAATTAGTATTTATCTTAACAGAAGCCGCTGGATTAACTTGATTAATTTCTATGGGAATGAGGTAAGGCACAACTGATATATTAAATATATACTGTAACAACACAAAATTCCATCATAAACAAATTTAATTACTATTAATCAAAGTTACAGATTACCAAAACAATAAGCAGTCACTGTCTTTACTAGCTTTAGATAATATACTCAGAGGCCCATAGCACCTTTTTTGGTGCAACATCATGTCATCAGAACACCATGTACTATTCATTCCATAGTGGAGAGATTAAAGATACCAACAATATGGAAAAATCGAAAATAAATGTGGTTCAACTATCTATTTGAAGGATTCCATCCAAAGGAATGCTGACTGAAAAAAAAAATTACATGGAGGGAAAATATTAACACTGACTATAACGGAGAAAGAAAAAAAAAAAAAACTTCGGTGTTGCTCGAACAATGAAAAAGCAACAAACAATCATAAAGTTTCCGCTCCATGACCACCTGTAAAACTCGATCCGGATGATGTTTCTGTCTTCTCTGCTCTTTCAGATTTTTTTGTAAGATCCTAGTAGTATTTTGCAGTTGGGACAAGTGTGATTCACATCCTACAATTAAAACCATTCTATATAAATTGAATAAACTAAAGAGATTAAAAAGTTGACTACGTAAAAGTTATATAATCAATACTACAGATCAAAGTAGTTTCAGTTCAAAATTTGATTTGATATAAAGTAGAAATAAACAAAGAAAATTACCAAACAATCCTTAACACAGAACGGAATTAAACAGCAACCAAGCCAGCAACTGTAAAATAAAAGTATAATAGTACCACTTTTTCCAGAAAATAGCAAGTAGGATAAGTGGAGAGTAAGACCCAAAATTTATATTATATACTACTCATAATGTAGTAATAGCATTACAATGTAGTAGTACCATTTCGATAAGTTTTTTTTTTTCCTTTTTTTTTTTAATACAATGTGGAAACAAAAATCCTCGCCTTGGATTTGAGATGAGAACAAAGAACAAATCGCAGAATGAAGCATATTTAACTCTTATCAAGGCTTGGGAATCGTTCTACTGACTCAAGCTAAATTTTCTGAACAAAAGACAAAAAAATTATAACCCGAAAAGTAACAGTATTCCACAAATCGTGAACGATAATAAACCAGCATGCGTATGTGTTTCCGTAACAATAGCTTTATTACAACTAGGACAAGTCATTGCACAGGAATGTGGTCCAAAAACAGGTACACCAACAATAATTGGTATTGCATGCGGTTCTAGATACATCGCGGAAGAATTTGCTAAAAAGTCTGATAATTTACTACAAGAACGCTAAAAACGCGATTTGCTATCAATTTAATTTGAATTCTGAAAACTGTGAAGTAAAGTTAATGGGATGTAATCAATTCCAGTGAACTGTCAGGTAAAACTAATTATCATTCCCTTCATAAATGAAAAATATGTAATGTTCATAAAGCTTTATTATTTCATTTCTTCCAGAAGTGACTGCCACAAATGAGTAATCAGTTTTTTCGATAGATTCTTGTCATAATAGCTTATTAACAAACGTAGTGTAGGGTTGACAGTTTGTGGTATATATGCAGGATTACTAAATGATTCTGGCGATGGTGCAAAGGGCCCAAAATTTGTTTTTGCTTGTGATATTCCACCGCTATTTGTGTTTGAGCAGACTGCTGCCTCTGCAACACTGTTCAATACATTTCCGGCGAAAATTCAAATTAATAAAACAAAGGGAACTTTTCAAAATGATATCACAACAAACCATACGATGGTGGACCTTTCTGGTGATAGTCTTCGATAGTATTCATTACTATTCCTGGAAGTGATATAAATCAAACACAACAGTACAAATTTCGCTCTACGACGGATGAGGTTGGCAATTAAGTTAATATTAATGCTTAATTCCATTCATTTTGGAAAAATAACTCTCCAAATAAGCAATTTCAAAGCGCTTCAACAACCAACGCACATACAAACACGTAGCAAATAGAAGTTAAGAAATAACGGTGTTAACATTTGAAACTGAGTGGCTCACCAATAATACATATTTTCATAATATAATCTCTGAATTAGAGGACCGGAGTTGGAAAGTATGCATTTGTTTCTGCGGAATTCAAAAAAGATAGAGTAATCAAACAAGTGATAATGGAAAAAATAATTATGAGCGATTACGTGGCGCATTGGAAAATATTTGATGTTAACTTTGTCAATGAATCATTGAATAATAAACTGAATGATCCATTAATGCCGTTAGACAGTATTATTTATATGACAAATATGTCTGTGAAGAGTACTATGTCTGTTTTTTCTTTCTTTTTAACATTCCATTATGACAACCTTGAAGCAAAGATAAAATTCATATAATTTAGTAAGTCATCAATACTATCGTCTAGTTGGCTGATCATTTAGTGATAGTTGCAGATGATGATATAGTGTTTTTGAGATGTAACTAAAAAATGAATATTTTTGTTTAGCTTTCCTTATTTGGCTTACCATTATTTACCAAGCTCTGTTAATCACTTTTCAGACGATGATATCATCGATTAAAACTGTCAGGAACAATTTAATATTGATTAGGTATTACTCAGTATTAAAAATTAATCATTGTGTTGTAACGGAGATGCAATTTAGCGAAAATATATGCAGTAAACAATAATTCATCACTTTATTCAAGTTCCATCTCGACTACCACACTTATATATACAGTATTTTCCAGCAATTTTTTACCATTACAGTATTTTATTGTGTTCTCTGTTAGAATTTGTGCAGAATTCATAGAATCCTACGACCTATCATGAAACTTTAATCAAGAAAAAGTGCACTATCTTCAAATATCTCTCTCAAACATAAAAATTTTGTAGTATTTTATTGATGTAAATCGTACCAATTCTTCGTTTAATAAAAAATTTTATATCAAATTTTGCTTCTGTCCAACTTAATTCCAAGTAGGATTTCAATCCAAAACTTGTAAATATTTCCCTGCTTAAATATTGAAATATAGAATGATGTTTTCAAGATTTATTCAAAATTAATATTCTCTTATTTTGAGTTCCACGACAATAAGATTGCGTGAGATCACAGTTCAAGGGAACCATTTTTCGGTTTTATATTAAAAGCATGAATTACGACTGCTAAACTGCTAGCTTTGCTCGCTAATTTTATAGACCATGTAATGCAATACGAACCTTCTCAAGGTGTGGTGGGACTTTAACTAGCAAGCAAGAAATGCCGATACCGAAGGAAAAGAACCACGAGAAGTGACCTCGCTGATCTAACTGGTGAAATCCTGCGGAATACTTAACTTCGAATACCATTTTTGTGATTTTTCAACTTGAAGTTTCGGTCAAACCAATCCTCCACTTCACTGGTTCTGAGATAGTGTAGTAAAACTTCCGTTAACTAAATGCTTCTGATTTTGACGATCTTAAAATCCATTAAAAATTGGGTCCAGAAACTGGACTATCTGAAAAGAGCAAGAACATTTAAAAATGAATTTTCTTTTTCCCTTGTAAATTCCACTGTTAGAACCTATATTGTGAAGCAAGCATGGAAACAATTCATAATTTATTTCTTAACAATCATAGCGCAAGGAAAAGCTACGATTTTAAATCTCGATTCAAAATATCAATCAATTTTATTGACGCCAACGAAAAATTTAAGGCTTACCTCATGCATGAACTCCTTGAATATATTATTTTATCCTGTTTCAAATTTCTTCTAGCAAAGAGAAATTTGAATGAATATATTCTTTGCTTTACGATAGTGCAACGTCCCGTACTAAAAAGTTTAGCGCAATTATAGAACTGTTATTGAATCGTTTTGAAACTTAGAATCTTCGATTCAAAACGTTAATAATTTTCTGGAAGCCAATGAAAAATTTAAGAAATCTATAGAATTATTTTTTTCATCATTTAAATTTAGGTATTATATATATATATATATATATACATTATTTTTTTTTTTTTGTTAGGTATAATGAAACGACGTCAGGTATAATGAAAACATTATTTGTCAGGTATAATGAAAACATTATGTCAGGTATAATGAAAACATTATTTGTCAGGTATAATGAAACGACGGAATTTTAGTAAGTGCAATTTTCAGAGCTAATGTTTCCAATTAATGAATGCATTAAATATTTTTGTATTTCACTAACATTAGTATCTTAGGAATTTATCCTTCCCGTGGTAGTTGCTAATTTGTTTTTTGTGCTGAAATGGTTGGGTAGTCAGAATACACGTGAAGAAAAAAAAAATCAAATTTCTCTAAATTCTAATGAAGTGAATAATTGACTTACTGAAAAAATGAGTAATTAAAAATGATGAATTTAAACCTTCAAGTTTTTAGGTCTGAATTTCTCATTTGATATCAAAGTAATTTCATCTTCTTTGGATCATTGAGTAGATTCGCAAGTAGGATTTTGATAGCATTTTGTTTCTGATCTTGATCAACGTCAAAAATGAAAAAAGTTATTCATCCCTCTTTAAGGATAAATTTGCTTTTAGTGGTAAATTTAAGCAAAATGAGCATATTTCGATTTTTTTCTGACCTATTGCTTTTATTATTTTAACTTCATTTTATTTTTACAGTATGAAATATTAAATATTTGCGTCAGTTTTTCGAGTTTTAATTTTTTTTACATTTGATATTTACCTCTGTTTGTCATATTTCCTCAGATGTTTCGAACATGACAGATTGTCATTCACTAATATCTCTCACATTTTAATTTCGATTCTGTGTATCGCTCAATGGATTCACTAACTTGAATTCTGCTTGGTCTAAAATGTTGAATCTACTAAATCAAATTGTGATATATATGCCATCTTAATAATAGATTTTTACTCATCACAGCTTTGTCCTTTTTAATTCGTAATGTTTGATCAGATCACTGGTCAAGATAAAATGAAATTAGCACAATGAGATTTCACAATACTGTGGAAGTCGATTATCTTATCGAGTAGAGGTGGCAAAATGAAGCAATATTAGGAAGTTTTTCCAACTTCTCGTTCTTCCAAACAATTTGTAGAGGAAGGCATCGGTGAAGTTTGAATTAGCAAACTGTCGAGCATCGAGCAGAAGCAACGTTTTCAGGTTTCTCCCATCCATCTCGCACTCATCTGGGTGACGCATATCGAGTTACTCAACTCATTTTTGAAATATATTTCGTGCTAATTGAACTTTGACTGCATCTTCTGTTCGCTTCAGTTACTATGGATACATGTTCATGTGTCTGCAAAAATCCCAACCTAATATCTGTCCGTCGTCCTCATCAGATGGATGGATATGTGTTGCTGCAGTGCGCGTCTGCCTATCTGTCTACCCGTGCATTCAGCACATTTGTCATTTGACAGCTAACTCTGAGCATTAAGCTCTGTCATTGTTGCTTTTGTTGTAGCTTCGATTAGCCATTGTTTGGAACGCCGGTGGTATTAATGTCTATTTCAATTCTTCCATTTCCAAACTAACTTTTTACAAACCTCAGTCTTCATTCTTCTGGTCTTGGCAAAACATTTTGGACGCTGCTTTTGCAGAGTAGAATAAAACGCAAAATCACTTGGTCCAGAGGATTAAAACATTTTTGGTACTATCGGTTTCCACTGCTTATCTTTATCGTCTTATTTGGAGCGTCTATCACATCATTTCATTATGATATAAGAGTGGCTACTTCTAGACAGATGTCTCAATGCAGAACGATGCTTGAAGCAAATCGTGAAGACAACGTCATTGACTGACTGAATAAGACTGGGAAAGTTGTAAACTTTTTTTGGTAGACCCATTAGCAAGGAAAGAAAGGCTATAGGAATTATTTTATTTGGAATTTTGATACTCTTGAAACTTTTTACTACACAAATCCAGAAGGAGAATAAATCTTTCCTCTCAGAAAAAGTGTCATCATTCTTACGAGGATTGTTGTGCTTATATTACAACTCGGGATAATCAAATGCAGCAACTAGATCCTTTCTTTTTTGGTTAATTAATTATTTGAAGTTGATGCATATAAAGGATGGGGTCAAAAAATTGTTAGAAATTCGAGGGTGGACTCGAATGACATTAGATAGAAAGTTTATGTCTAATCATCTATAACCCTTCCCGTTTGGTCTTTCCCCTTATAATTGCTATCCTCATTTTCCGTGCCTTTTTATATTAGAGGTATTTAATCATGGTTGTTTAAAAAAAAATTTTTTTAATCTAAACTTCGCTAAAAATTCTTCTAAAAGTTGAAGTAATTTACTTCACCACAAATTGAAGTCCACATTGGTATAGTGTTAAGCCCTTTCAAGATCCATATGATCAGTCGATATGCATTTAGACTACAACACTGAATAAACTTGGGAAAAAAAACAAAATGTTGTTGAAACGAATTAAAAAGTAAGAACTTAAATATTTGTGTAGTTTTTTTCTTTGTGAAGACGTATTACCAACAACTTTTTCTTTAATTCGACTTCACTTTTTTTACTATAATATCAGTTTTTAGTATAATTTTAATAAAGCATTCCAAATAACCTGTGACCTCTTAAAATTTCCTTACTTAAGTTAAGATTATACAACTCATGTAAGCTAACACTGCTTACAGTGCAGTTTTTGGATTTCTGATTCCGACAATTGGATCAGTAAAATATCTGAATGAGAATATTTGAACTTAAGTTACTTAGTGATCACTTTAACCTTTTGCCAATCTGCACCGTCTGTTTCTTATCAGGATAAAAGGATATTTGCATATTTGCTTACTGTTGCTAAATAGTGCTTTATTATATCATCCTTATCAGTTTTCTGACTTAGTTTTTTCTTCTAATCTTTAGTCAAAAGTGCGATTTCATTATTGTGTATTTATTTCACGTCCATTGCCATATGTTTTTAATTATAGAAAACCACATGGCAGAATCATCAAATGAAAATTACAAAGTGCCAATTGGATTACGTCCATTATTAGAAGCATTTGTACGTGAAACACTGAGAACACAGCCAACTGATTTAGTCAGTTTTTCGATTCTGTTTTTCAACGTTTTGCAGAAACATCGCAAACGTAAGTTTCGGAACTTTCTAAATTCTTTCAGAATTTCCGCATATGTTTTTAATACTATATAAGTACAAATTACTACATTCCAAAAATTATGACCACTTAACATTCCTTTTGTCATTATATGCGAAAATATGTCACTGATTTGAGCGTGATACTAGTTTAAAAATACTTCTGAGTTAAATTCGCTAAAGAACTAAAAATTTTACAATTTTCCAAATCCAGCAGTCATCCTCTCTTTTTATTTTTTTTCATCAGTAGCTCCTTTGCCAACCGTTGCAACACATATGGTGTTGAAACGTAAAGTAATACATTCATTCATCATCAAACAAGAATTGACAGCTCAAAACTTGAGAATAGTAATATGGCCAAACTTGAGAAAAAAAGCTTGATTGGAAACAAATTTGGTTAGCCGAAACATTTCTAGCTGTTAGGTTTTTAATAAACAATATTAAAACCCATCTCTTACTATATAAAGAGTAAAGATCATCTGATAGCTCCTTACTCAATAATCATGCTGTTGCTGCAAGTCAGTATCCACTATATAAGGGTTTAAACCCTTTTGTCTCAATCAACTCAGTTTTACCAGTTTTTTCCTTACCAGTAAGCTACAATTCTGCTGCTCTTCCTCACTCACAATTCAGCTCATTTCCCGACCAATTTATTCATTTACCCATTTTCTTCATTTCATTTGTAGACACTCTACGTAGATAAATTATTAATATTGTAGATAAATTATCAATATTGCTGCTATAGATTAATACCTATACATTGTGGTTATTAACAAATAAAATCAGACCTACTATTTAACACATTCATCTATACCAATTACAATAACAAACAAGGAAGGCTCTTGAGCATACGAAAGTTTAAGTTCGACTCTAAACTACAAACACCAGACAAAGCTAAGTTTAATTATAGTAATAAAAAAGTAATAACATAAAAGCATGCATCAAAACAATTAGAAATTACTGCTATTCAAATGAGTAAAGCTAACCGAAATTATGCAGTAAGTAAAATAAACAATAATGCATGCAATTAGCAAAACTACGGAAGAGGGTGCAGTTAATAAAACTACGAAAAAACATGCATCAACTAGTACGAATTACTGTTGTTATAGTCAATAAAGTTAATAAGAAATATACAACAAATAAAAGGAACTAAAAGTGTATGCATAAACAAAGTAAACAAAAAAGGATTTAAAAGCTACAAATAAAATGAGTGGTAGGGACAACAAAAAAGCATGCAACTAGTAAAACTACGGAAAAGGCATGCATTCAAAAACAAGCACAATTCTTTAGTGTTGAGCAAAGTTAATGAAAAGAATGCGGGAAGTAAACGTAGCCAGAAATGAATACAAAAAATAAATTAAGAAAGGATGATTTAAAGCTCCTAGTGATTAAAAATATAATTCATTAATAATAAGTAAGATTAACAAAGCAGGCATACATTAATAACAACTAAAAACACTGTTGTTGAAATGAGCAGAATTAACAAACAAGTAGTAAATGTAAGGTAAGCAAAATTACATGAAAAATGAAATTAAAAAAAGAAGGCTTAAAACTTCAAGTATTCGAAGTACTATCCATAATAAACAAGATTAATAAAAAAGGAAAAATTCAATCAGCAAAATCACTAAAAAAGTGCTTATCAAAAACAAGCACTGCTATTTGGGTGAGTGAAGTTGGCAGGGAAAAAAAATTAAGTGCAAAAATAAAATCAAGAAAAAAGATTCAAAGGCTGAGGAGAAGCATGCAGAGATTAATTTAAAAGATTAATAAGAACATGCAGTAAATAAAAAAGATTAATATGAAGCAGGCAGTAGGTAAAGGAAATCAAAAGTCCGTACAAATACAAAGTTAACAAAAAAAGATTCCTCATCCGAAATATTGTTTAATAACAATAAGTTAGATTTACAAAAAAACATTCAGTTGGTAGAACTAACGAAAAGCATGCATTTAGTGAAACTATAAGAAAGGCATGCACTAACAACAAATAGCAATTACCGTTGTTGAGATGAACAGAATTTGCAATTTTTGAAAGACAAAACAAGTTCTTAAAAATAAAAAAAAAAAAGATAAAACAAGATTATTTAATAATAATAAGATTAACGAAAAATATGGAGTAAGCAGATGGAATCAAAAATGCACGGGAGAAATAAAGTTCACAAAAGATAAGTAGCAGCATCTAAAGTACTGCAATAAAGTTAACAACAAAACAAGTTAAAGCAAAAAAAATGCATGCAGTATGCTTTAATAAATAAATTTCAAATTTCAATGCCTAAAAAATCATACATTTTGACAATGCAAAAATTTAAACAATTCTAAAAATGAAAAATAAAAAAAAGTTTCAAAAGTAAGAAAGAATAAAATAATCAAAAGTAAAACAAAAAAAATTGCAATATCAAAATAATATAAAAAATTAAACCCTTAAAATCTATGAATTGGTATTGCAGATTTTTATATCGCGAAACTCTAAAACATTAGAAAATGTGAATAAGAAATGTATTCTATGCAAAATAATCTTTAAACTTTAAACTTATGTTTAGATTGTAAATCTTCTTTATATTGATTAGTTTATTGTGATACCGTCCAGTGATATTCTTATTCACAAAGTTTGCGTGTGGAAACCAAATCTCAACTTTGACAGTGATTACTTTAGTATTATTAGCGGTGAGTTAATTGTTTAAAAGAGTAGATGAAGGAAGAAGAAATTTTTTAATAATATTATTAAGGATATTTCATCAACGATTATTCCTGTTGATTATGCTTGATAAAGGGATGAAATTATCACTTTCTGTTTCAAAATACCGGCTTTATTACAAAAGTAAATTGATAAACCTATTTCTATCACTTTTTAATGTTTTAAAATTTCCTTTTTTACAGTAAAATGAATAACGAGCTGTTTCAACAAGTAGCATATTATGAAATCAATAATATTCGGATATGAAATTAATTAACCCTGCTGAACTGGTCAACCAGTTTTAAATTGAGGTTTAATATCAGTTCACCAAATTGCATAATAGCAATCGTTTCATTAGAAATCTTTTGAAAATCGGAAGTAAAAATGATATCAAGTAGATAAAAAGGATATATAATGAAATTTGGAAAGATTTCTTCGATGATACTATGTACTGCTCACTTTGCAAAATTTCTTTGCTTTTCATCGCGAAGTGGCCCACTCACTTTCATAGTTTGTTGAAAAGAAGCTGCAAATACAATCGCGTCATATCATTTTAAATCATTTTAACTTTTTACTTCATTTTATTGAAATAATTTATCAAATCTCTCGATAATTTTCGGAATTTTTGGATAACTTCATGTGAAAACAAAAGCAACCAGATACCTAATTTTTCAAATAGTCAAATTTGTCTTGCTCTTACTGCACTGCTTTTAATACTTAGACGCTTCCGGGACAGCTAATTCAATTTGTTTTGATTTGGACAAATTTTCGCAGTTTGAGATTTATCAATAGGATTAATATTTGCGAGTCTATTTTCTTTAAAGTTATTTTTTTGTCTTGTAAAGAAATACTGTTGTAATTTATTTTTGATTCTGTAAGTAGATAACTGCATGATTTCCTCATAAGATTAAAAAAACATCTAATACGTATCTACGTCGTTTGTTATTGAAATATAGAATAACGAGTATGATGGATATTTGGTACATCGGTATTAAAAATTTCCCACAAATATTTCAAAAATAAAGTAGTAAATTTTGCTTTACCGAAATAAAAATTATTGATATGTTTAATAATACGTTGTAACTAACTGAGTTTATATGCTTGAGATGACTTAAACAATATCTTTGCCAGTGCCCAAAAATGGAAGAAATGATAAGAGGAACGGTCAAATAATTCTAATGAATGAAAGTGACTGAATGCAAAATTTATGTTAAATCATATTATGCAGTGCTCTTCTGATACAGAGTATAGCACTGTGTCTAATGCTCTCTTGTATGAAGAATAGATGATTGAGAAAGGTGAATGCTGGCAGGTGAAATTGGTTGGATAATGACGGGAGGCAGACGATACACATGATATATGCAAGTTTGTACAGCTCTCTCCCTACAGATGCTATTGACCAAATTTATTGCTTGTTCACTTAACTATGTTTACTTAACTGCATTTTTTTAATTAGGAAAATATTTTTGCATCCTCTCATCAATTTTACTTCAGTCTTTCAAAAAGAAAAATATTTTTGCTCTTAATTTTTTGCTTTCGAAAAGGCAGTTTAGGATAAGTACTCTACGCAATACTAAATGAACAGTCCAAACTTATCCTTTTTTTAACATGCACTATTCCGAGAAACCAGTATTTGAAACTATGCATATAGCCTAGAACCCTCTGGCGATAGATGATACAAGAAAACTTGTGAAAGCAAATGCGTTTTGTATAGTCATGATTAAATTGCATCCCACATATAAAGTTAGTATGGACTTGCTTATGAACGAGCAAAATTGAACTTGAATTGCTGTAAATCAATAACAATACATCTTTCATTCCCTTCATGAGTGGTTTTAGGTTTTTTCCTCATTTATAGTGCTACTAAGGAAAAGAGACTTAGTTCATTAACAAACTCTAATTATTATAAATTCCAAATTGAAAGAAATATTTTAATTCCCGGAATTCTATATCAAACTGGTCACTTGGTGTAATCGTAGCTTAAAAAGTATGTGTTTGAACTTTAACATTAGTTGATGGTTATCAGTTTCCACTTTTAGTTGAATATCAAAGTAGATTTCATTTGAAGTAATACATGCGCATCAGAAATAGGAGTGGTCATTAATTTTTTTTATGCTAACCTTTAGAAGTTGCAAATGAAAAAATTTAATAATAATAAACAATAATATTGTTGATAATAATTGATAAATAATAATACACTAATTATATTGGGTAAAAGTTTGGACTCATTTTGTTGGAAACCGTGGATTTCAATATCGCGAAAATCTAAAATCTTATATGAAAGTAGAAAATATGAGTAAGAAATATATTCTATGAACTCTTTGCAATACAATGTTTATACCCTAAACTTTTTGTTTCCAAAAAGTAAACTTATGTTTAGATTGTAAATCTTCTATATATTGTTTACACACGGTATCAGTTCCTCATTTAGTTGATCTCACACTAAGTGTAAATTATGCTTTAATCTACGAAATTAACAACTTTTGTTTAACTGATGTCCTTTGCAGCTTGTTAACTAGTAATTAGATTTGTTTCTAAACCAGGTCAACAACTCTTTATTAGACCGATTATTGTGAATCATGTATTTTGTTTATGTATACTGCTTGCTACATAAGGAGGCTACTCATATTTATAGTAGTGTGTTAAACCAGCAGAGTTCAATCACGGTGCAGTTCGACCACAAAAAGGGATTTCGCTACTTCAATTCTTC